CCCCAGGCGAACGCCCTATCCTCTAGGCCACGCCAGAACCCACCCCACCTCCTTAACTTCAGGGCCTCCCTTAGCCTTCCTTCCGCCTGCCTCTCCCCCATCCTTCCACCCACCTCTCCCTCCCTCCCCCCCAAGGTAGGGTTGCCAGATACTTTCACAAAAAATGCTGAACATGGCAGGGAAAAAATTGAGCAAAAAAAAAGGGGGGGGACCAAAGTTGTTGAGCAAAAAAAGAAAAAGGGTGCTGCACCTTTAAATGGCCCCACACTCAGCGCCCCCCATCCCAATGCACTTGCCAGACGCAGCAGAGGAAGAATGTCCTAAGCGGCCTTCCGTCCGAGAAAAACAGAAAATACCGGACATGTATTTTATTTTTTTTAACCGAAGCCACAAATACTGGATTGTCCAGGCCAATTCGGGACACCTGGCACCTTACCCCCGAGTCCTAAGCTCAGCGCTGTGAATCGAAGAGCGGCAGGTCGTTGGCAAAGCTGTAAACCTCCTTCCAACAGGCTTGACCCCCTCCTGCCCCCCAGCCCAAATCCAAGTCAGAGAAATAAATCCAGTCCAGTTCAAACGCCCTCCACCCGCTGCAGGCCAGCTCCTCAGCTGGCACAAATCGACGTCAACCCATCCCACGGAGGGGGAGGGAGGGTTACGCCAGCTGACAAACAGGACGGAGGTGCGCGGGGTGTACACCTGGAAGGCATAAGAGGATCGATCTCCCCATCCAATCCATTGCCTCGTGGCAGCACCTAGCACAGTTTCCTACAATCTGCTAGGCCAGGGCACCATCTCAGCTCAATTCTGCAGCCTCAGCTCCAAAGCTGACAGTCCACTTGGTGTAGCAAAGTCTGCACAAGGCACCAGCCTCTCTGCACAGGGTGAACACTGGCTCCCGCTAACAGCTCGCAGGCTGCGTGTGTTAGCCACTGACTCTAACCCCACCAAGACCCTACCTCCCCTTCTGGAGTCTTAGCCTAGAAACCGGCAACTTTTATAGCAAGAAATTTTTTTTTCCCTTCTCTTTTGGTTTGAAACCATTTTTTTAAAACTCCAAGTTCTTAAGGAGCAGCTTGTTACAATCACTGTTTGCTGGCTTCCAGTGGGTCTCATATACAAGAAAAGACGGTTACGTTGTAATATTTTTAATATATATTTTATTTTTTAACGTCCCCCAAAAGTGCATTTTTTATTATTTTTTTCTTGTCTCCCACACTTTATAAAGAACTACCAAAGTTACAATCTATGGAATGTCTTTTCTGTGCTTTTCTCGCCTCGCTCAGTAACCAGATACCACACAAAGTAGTTTACACATAAAACTGATGAAACTTGCGAGTGCTTTATATATAGAATTCATTTGTTTGTTTGTTTATATATAAAGACGCAGGAAACGTGGCCCCATCGCTAATATTCTCTTTCATCCTCCTGGCATCATATCAGATGATTTTTGAGGAGGGGATGGGAGAGTTTAAAATCTACCCACCTCAGATTAAAGTTGAATTTCTGTTTGTGTGTGTATATATATATATATATTTTTAGAAAACATAACTTCAATACAGCATCTCATTACATGGCCCAGGCAGTACAAATGCGACCCCCGGAGGTTTCTACCTAGGAGGCTAAATCGGCTACCTGCTCATTAAAAAGTGTTCCTCTTTATTTAAATAAAAACTTTCATAATAAATTGAAAATATAAATATATATATATATTTTTAAATAGTCGAATGGGCCATTCTGAATGCTCATCACACCGGCGTTTCGGGAGAGACAGACACAGCTTTTGGTTTGCTACCCTGACCCATGGGCTGCAGGTGTTGAGAGGAGTGATTTTAAGCATCTCAACTGGTCTGGGTTGCTGTAGGGACTTACACAGGCTGGTCAATTTCTAGGGGCTATTGGGGATCACTCAATCTCCGACTTGCCACAGGCCGGAGCATCTCTGCCACCGACTCCTGCGTCCAGCGGACTGAAGGAGGGGGTCATCTTATCTCCGGGTTGAAAGTGATGGAGAATCCACTCCCCCCACTGCTCAGAAACCTCCATCCCCCCTCCACCCCATCCCCGCTACACTCCACAGCTGACCTCTCCCTCTGGGTTGTCAATCGGACATCACGTGGAGGAGGGTGAGAAAAGTCCCAGGCAGCGCTAAACATCAGATGCTAAAGGAGATTCCCTCCCCCCCCCAGGACACGAGGGAAATGGCCAGGGACACCTGCTCCCCCCTCCTGGCCCCTCCCTGCATCACAACAGGACTGGATTCTCCTCGGGACAGCCGCTCGCTCGCACATGCAACAGAACCGCTTCCCGCGGAGTCCAAAGGGTCCCCTTAGTGCAAAGAAGAAACCTCCTGCCCTTCGAGATGCTGCCTCCCCCTCTTCTTGTTTAAGGCTTGGGGGGAAGTAGAGTCTCTAGGCCTCCATCAGACCCCTCCCCCTTTCCCGTGCAGGAGGGGACTTGAGGCCGGGGTTAAGAAGCCGGCAGCATCCTTGGCTACCCCCCC